GAGGTTGGTTGCGAGCCGATTGGTAAAGTTAATCTGCAAATCTCATTATATCTGTAGTTTGGCTTGGAAAATAACTTTGGGAAAGATATTTTTGACGTTCAATATTTTTGCAAGAAATTCTTACGCCGTATTAGTGTTGATACTTGTGCAACACGCGTTTGTGTACTCATTCTTCACCCAATGAATGAATCGCGGACGCAACACGTTATGGACTAATTCAATGAGCAAAAAAGAAAAAAAAACGGAAAACATCTGATAGCTAGGTATTGTTTTACCTGCTGACAAATTGTATGGCTTCGGGATACGCGCGTATATATATTTTTATATCTTGTCCGTGCGCGCAACTTCAATCCAGTAGATTGCTGCAAAAGGTTTTCTGTCGCTTTCAAATAAAAACCCTGGAATTTAAAAAAAAATGGATATCCGACAATTTCTGTCAAAACAGAAACAAAATCATGGGGAATATGATTTTGTTTCTGTTTTGACAGAAATGAATACTCTCAAATTAATAAAAATAACTTTAAAGGTACAAATAATCAAATTAAAGAATATAAATAAGAAGGCAAACTAACTATACTTGTTATTCGTGCTATATAATATTTATATGTTTATAGTAGACTAACTAATTAAGCAAACATGCATTAAGCATACATGCAGATCTTTTCAGGTCCTCTTTAGTGTAATAAAATTAACGCTATTTTATATTTCGAACTCTTCGCAAAATCGAAATTATATCCAGATTCCTATACTTTGAACATCTTTATTTATCATAATTGAATTTATTCATCCCTTGTGGCGAACGCTAGTGTATTTCAATGAAGTATCAAATGCAACGCCTGAACATTCTAACTCCTAACTCCTAAAATCTTATATGCTATGACTTGGATGTGTAGAATTTTTCATTTTTTGCTTCATTAGAAATAAAAATATATGAATTATCTTCCATGGTTCACTTAATCTAATGACAAGAATTCCTAAAAATAAAGTTTCCTCTAACAAACATCCTTCTTAGTCAATAGTTAACATTAGACAATTTTATCTCATTTCTTTTCAAGTTACTAGATTACTTTATCTTACTTATTACTTTATCGCTTTATGTATATCATTTTGGACATTAATCTTTTATTATAATTTCGTTCAATGTCCAAAATTTCAATATCCCAATTAAAAACAACAAAATAATGGCATTAACTTACAAACAGACACAGAATTCTTGGATAAGACACGTGAACCGATCTTAAAGATGCTTTAATTTTCTTATTTACATAAACAATGTTTTGACATATGACACTCAGCAACGACTTTCAGAAAGACCTTAACGTTTTGCAGTTTAAAATTGACGAGATAGAAGTTTACTTCGATGCTCAAATATGAATAACAATTTTATTGCGAAATTATTTTAATCATTAATTGACTGAATTAATTTTATATCAATGTGTGATGTTTATCGACAATGGTTTGGTGGAAGTGAGATTATATCATTATTGTTAATGATTATATTTAGAATTTATTAATAAACTTTGTAAATCACACTTGAAAGCGCTTAATCACGGTTGCACCATCCAGCTAACTGATTGTGTTTTCACTCTAAGAAATGATAATTGGCCACCTCATATGAATTGCAGATACTAAAATAACGAAAAACATACCACAGCCTTATATGTCTTATGCATCTCATCGTTTACTTAATTACATAGATTCATCTGTATGTACTGAAGATGGCTAAAAAGTTAGTCGAAATATGTATATAAATTACTAATGAAATTAAATATGAAAGATATAACTTAATAACATTGAAATTTATCACGCACATAGTACAGCACTAATTCGCAACAGCCAAATTTATTATAATTATATTTTTTATATCAGGGAATTAAGATTATTCCTAGAAAGTTCCCTCAAATACCCTTCTAGTCAATAGTTATCAGTAATCTATAATAACTTGGAGAGAAATGAGATAAAACTGTTAACTATCGACTAACATAAGAAAAATATTTGTCAGAAGGAACTTTATCTATAGGAATTTTTATCATTAGATTAAGTAAATCTTATCTCTCGTTTTACTTAGATTAAGTAAAACAATTCATATATTTCTACTTCTGATGGAGCCAAAAAATAAAAAAATTCTATACATTCAAGTCATAGCATATAACAAAATTTTAGAAGTTAGGAGTTGGAATGTTCAGTTGGTTGCATTCAATATTTCATGTTGATACTACATTGATATATTGTATATTATCGTTTGTCACAAGGGATTATGGATAAATTCAATTACAAATGAAAATGTTCGAAGTATAGGAATCTCGATCTTGCAAAGAGTTTGAAATGTAAAGTAGTTGCGTTAATTTTATTACACTGAAGAGGACCTGATGTGAAAAATCGAAACATCTGTATGTATGTTTGCTTAATTGTTAGTTTACTATAAACATATAAATATTGTATAGCACGAACAACAAGCGTGGCTCTTTTGTCTTTTTACAATTTGATTATTTGAATTTTATTCATTGGGACCTATTGTTTAACCTTTAAACTTAAATTTAAAGGTACAATATTTAGTTTTCAATTTTAAATACAAAATTTTTTTGTATCAACTTATTATTGTTTAAAATATTTTAAAAATACATGAAATAATTATCGCAATTTTTGGCTAAGAAAAAAGATAGTGTAATAAATAAAAAATATATGCATAATAAACAAAAAAATTAAAGGCAACAAGTTCTAAAAATGAATGAACAAAATATTTGAAAAATATACAATAATGAGTTAGTTTTACATAAAGAGAAAAAATTTAATATAACAGATAAGAAATTAGATGATACTCAATATCAATCTTTTTTTGGATATCTATGACTGGAGAAAATCATGTGTTTTATTTTTAAGATTTCAATTAATCTATATACGGTGTTTTATCTAACCTTAGTATCAGCTCCACCATGTATATTGCATTAAATGCGTGAAGAAGGTATTATTATCCGCTGTAAATATTTAATCGATAGAAATTGTTCAGGGGATATATGTGTATATCAAGTTAAGTGTTCTCAACTAGTTTAGTAATATAACGCGATGTATCAATTCTAATTACTTGCTCTTTTGCAATATTTACGACAGTCGGTTATTGTGCAATAACAATAGTAATTTTTGTACCATTATCTATGAACATTCATGAATTTAAATTAATGTTTAGTGCTCAGTAAAAGATAAGAGTGGCTAATGTATGACTAAATAGATAACAAATAAAACAAGTAAAAGTATTTCCTTAGTTACTGTCTACGAGATATATAACGTGATTTATAAATATCTTATATGTCATTATCGATAATAATAATAATAACAGTAGAATTTCTAAATAATCGAAGATATTCAGTTAATTGATATTTCTAGATAATTAAACGATTACGCTACAATAATAATTTAATGACATTTCTTATCTTCTATTTTGCTTCCCTAATTTTTTAAATTAATAATTCATATCTAAACCTAAAAAAATATTGTGAGAGAATTGTTTGATATTTGTAACTATAATTGAATAATAAAATAGTTATGATTAGGAGCTCCATTTTTATAGTTATAGTTACATATGGATATATATAAATAATTATATTATAATTATGAAAAATTTTACTAAATTATGATAATTCTAAATATTAACATGTATATAGGAAACAAAATATTTTATTTTAATGTTTGCTTTATATTTTCTGATTAGGTTTTAAAATTATATAATATTTATTATACTTTTGAGAAAGATTTAACAATATTTGCTTGTTTAGCACATAACAGATTATCATGTTTCTTCGTAGCGTGTCATTTTTATGCAGATAAATTATGTAAAAGACGAGCGAATGAGATAATAAATATTCTTATGTAAATATTCTTATGTAAATATTCTTATGTAATAAATTATAATGAATATAATTTTCTCATTTGCATAATATATTTATAAAATAGTATTAAGCAATTCAAAAATTACCCGACTATGTAAAAAAAATAAGAAATAATCACAATTAATACTAGAAAAATGCCTATTACGATCGAAGGTGGATTTTCATTTCTTTAAATAATTCAATCTTGAATTATTAATATACACTATATATGTACTTGCATATATTCCATATTGTAGCTTTTAGAACTGCACGCCGAATTGTTTTTCCGCCGAATTGTTTTATAAACGTTTTAAAATTAAAATTACTCTAGTAAGTAGTCGCGAATTAAATTGACAAGCAATTTAATGATTTGATACAATTTAATTTGCGATTACTAGAGTAGTTTTTTTAATTGCATTTATAGTCCGGTCAGTATACATATATATTAAAGCATCGAATAGTTCGATTACATAAATCTAAAAAATAATGTCGAATGCGTTACTTATACACATAATACAAACAATTTAACAATAAATTTAATAAATTTATCCCAAAGTTAGATATTTTATAAAAATAACACGTTATCGTAACGGAAGTAATACGATTTGTTCGTTTTGCAATACTTTTCTTAAAGTAAAATTAAAATAAGATTAAAGTAAGATATCAGATTTAAAATTGTATTATTTAAAAATCAGTACTAAATGTAATAATTAATAAATATTAAAACTGATAAATATGAAAACTCTAAACTAATCTATGTATGTATGTATGTATATATAAATAGGATATGTATATATATATATTTTCTAAATTTCAATAAATATTTATTTGAATAGTACCAATTAAATATTTATTAAATACAATTAAATTTAAATACAATTAAATATTTATTAAATATAAAAATATATTTATTTGATACAAAAAACATTAATTTGATTTAACAGTCACTTTTTTTTATTAAGTAAAATATTTATTTATTATAAGTAAATGTTTAGTTAGCAGTATTCAAATAGATATTTATTTAAATTTAGACTATTTTTTTCTCAGTGTGTGGTGACGTCGCGCCATGCGAATTCGTATCATGGCTTATCGCGCCTCAGGCGTGAATACTTCGTAATTCGCAAATGCTGACGCAGAATGACTATCACTGCACGCAAGACACACATAGTGTGTCTAACTAACTGCTGTGTTTGCGAACTACAAAACGTTTTGCGATTTTTTTATGTAAAAGCACCTTTACTCGACGGCATTGCGGCGGCGCGCAGCGAGAGGAAGGATGCTAAAAGAATGTGAGTAGTGTATACATTGCACATTTCTTTCTGTCATTTAATTTTTCTTTGTAATAAATATGAAAACAGTAGGATATTAGAGTAATTATAAAAATAACGACTGAATTCGTTACCATTAAAATAATTAAAAAAAAAACAACGATAATGGCATTACGTTAATGTTTCAATCCTAATTTGTCCATGTTATTAAATTAGCTATATCGTTCTTCAATTTAAATGATATGCTATCAATAAAATGTTTATATCCGTAATTTTCCAGCAATCAGTGGAGAATAATATGCGCTACAATGATATAGAATCAAAGAATTAAATCAATCAAGTTGTTTTCCTAACTTCTTTCCATCTATTTACGTAAGTTGTTTGTACAGTATAATAAAAACTTACGAATGAAAATCAGTACTGATTCTCATTCGTAAGTTTTTATTATCATATTTCCACGCCAAAGTTCATTCCAAATTATCTTATACTCGTGTCTGAAATAAATATTCATAATTTTAGCATAACGTGAAAAATATTATTTAAAGAATTAGAATTTACATATACAATAGATAAAGTATATAATCAAGATATACAATATAAAAAATCATAAATAGAATTTTGTGAGAATTTGATAAGAATCCAAAATAAGCTTGATATTAACTCATGTGTATCTCTTGCGTGTATCGTTGGTATTCTGATTCCTATAAATGATATTCCTCGCTAAATACATAACACACAGATCGATACCACTCTATTAAACTTCTGAAGGCCACATCGCTCAAATTAAAATATTCTCATTGTCAGCAAAAATATTTTTTGTTTCAGTAAAAACCTCTCGTTTAAATATTGAGACTTTTTAAAAAATCGATCACAAGTTAATGCAATCGATGGCACACGTTCAACACAATTTTAAATCTCTAAATAGGACACAAAACTGAATCTATTCTTTTTAATTTTGTTGTATTAAGCTTTATGCTCGAAACAATATGTTCGGACATATTGTACATCGTAGAAAAGACAAAAAAGAAAGATCTTGCAAGAAGAATAGCTCAAGAGAAAGATTGATTTTGAAATTACTAAATAATTGCATCAGAATTTTATCTGCCAACTGCGGATAAAATGATTTTTAAAAGTTTCTAATAAAATCATGTTTTGTAATCATTCTTAATAAATATTTGTTTTAACTCAAAATATTTATTCGACTTTACGTTTATTTCTACCAATGTAAATTGACTTTAATTTCCGAGTTTAACTTACTGTTTACTTTTTTAGTTCTAATTGTAAGAAAATTTGAATGTGCAATGTCCACTTTTATTTTCTATATTAATAGAAATAAATAATTACATATTTTTCTGTTGATTTTACTTGGCCATATTGGACCCATATGTGGAGATCGAAATAAGAAAAAAGATAACATTTTATTACATTAAAATTATAATATCAAATACTCAATTTGAGTTATTTTTAATCATTTCTATAGAAATTACAACTTTTACTTAATATTACTCATTAATTTTATTAAAATGATGGAGTTAAACAATTTAATTTTTAAGGCCCGATTTCACAATGTATTTTCTTCTTCTTAAAATTTCCCCATGGATTTCCCTATTATTGAATCACAATATCATGCGTATCAGTAAGATAAGGTTTACAGCCTCTTCGGGAGCAGAAGCTCGCTTTATGTTTTTAGATTCATTAGTGGAATTCTACTCTTAGAGTTTAAACACTCGAGGGGAGTTAAACTTACAGTTTAATGTTGAAGCCGAACGATGAAAAATCACGTATGTGGGACGCAGGTGGAATCGAATGGATCAATCGCATTGAGCACTCGGTGCCGCAATATATGATTATCTAAAGATTAAAGGTGAATGAATTCACCTCATCTGTTGGTAACCTTTAATCTTTAGGTAACTGTACTAACTTCACAATACATTGTGGAAATGAGCTTGAGAAATGTATTAAATTTAACAATAATAATAAAAGAGCATATGAAAGTGAAACGCGATAATTTGAACGTATTTAATATTATTTCTTACTAAGTATAAAATTCAACTCTTTTTTGAGTCTTCATCAGCGAGATGCGTTGAACATGAACATGAACAATAAGATAAAGTAACTTCATCTTAAATGGGAGCCACTGGATTGACAGATCCAAAATGAAAGACTCTAAAGTTGATGTTAGAATTCATGATAGGAGAAAGTGCCTTTAAATAATTAGTGCCTTATAATTATTGTTTAATTTTGAGAGTTACAGAGGCATAATTGATTAGTATTAAATTTGATTCAAATTTAGTTGATTATTTACTAAATAATATTTATTAAATTGCATGTTAATATGGACATTGTTTACTTTTCCTTCGAAATTAAACAATTCAACCACAGAAATGAATTTCCATACAGCACAAACTTTCAAGAGCGTTCTAAAAACGCCTAAAGGATATATGCTTATGAATGTTCTAAAGATATTCCCAGGATGTTACTTGAATAAATAAATTGCGCTGGGAAAGCGAATTTACATTTCGATACATGTAAAAGTATAACAAAATGTTATTTAATTCAAGAAAGGATCCCGCTATAATCTTATGGAACTTTTTTTGCTCAAAAGAGCAATGATAAAAAATTGAGCAATTATAAAAAAAGATTCATAAAATTATAGTGAGATCCTTTCTTGAGTTAAGTAACATTTTAAACTTTATGTATCGAAATGTAAATTTATCTCCCAGTATTTAACAAGAAAGAATCCTCGATTGACGCATCGATGTTTCAATTTTTGAGACTCTAATCAGAGTTCGGTCATACAAAACAAAAAGTCCGATATTTTTCTTCAAAATTGTATGAGTAAAGATGTTTTATCTTATTTTTGTAGTGGTGCCAAAAAGAAAAGGATACATTTTATTTCTGCGATTATATGAGAAAAAGATGTTTAAAAATATCTCGCTTTTACTGAAACAAGTTTGATGAAAAATATCGAACCAATCATAGGCTATCACACGGCTAGACTATGGACTTCTTTTATCAACTTCTAGTTAAATTAATCGATGATCACACAACTCGCGTCAATAGCAGTTTAATATATCGAAACATCTCCTCTTGTTTCCTCTTGTGCGCTTAGTTCTCACGTTGGCAATCGTGATGATTGAGTTAACCATCGATTAGCGTTAATCGGAGTTGATGAAAGAAACCCTAAAATTAAAGAGTTTCTATCTAGTGTTGTCAGGTTTATTTAAAACTCTTATTCTCATATATTGTAATTTTCTCAATAATTTAATTGTCATTTCTTTGTATTTTCCTCTCAAACAGTCTCCCAAAAATTCTCTTAAACTTTACCTCCAAAAAGTCTCTCAGAAAGAAAAAGCCTCCAAATTTAGAAGAAAATCGCTTAACCTAACAACAGCGATAACAATAAATAAAATGCTTCGCCTTTGCAGGAAGATAAATTCGATCGTTTGGAGAAAAATCGCAGTACGGTGATATATGTTTGTTTCTTACCGATAGCAGCAACGCCTGAGCGTCGAGAGGAAAGAGCGGTTTCTCAGCCGTCGGTCTGGAAGCCCAGTAAGCCACCCCGGTGACGAAGAGAGCACCGGCCGCGCCACCCAGATACGGCAGGTAGTCTTCGAATTGGGACTGTAACACTTCGTTTAAAATCGTTTAAACGTTCGGAGAAACTGCCAAATTTACATAAGTGAAAAACGCGACAAGTACTACCTGCATAACAGCGGATCTATACGCAGGTAGACGGGATGCGCTAACTGCCGCGAGTCGTCCGACGACTTTGCCCTCAAGCGTTCGACAGGATCGCTCACCACGAGCGATTCGAGTGCGGTCTCGTAATGAAGTGACTTGATTGTTTCTAAAGTTTGGTTCCCATGGTCCTGATTGGACAATAAGTAGCGGATCTCATGCCACTATCTTACAGGCGCCGTTATCGCGTAAACTGTAACCAACTGCGGGCCGCACGATCCCGCGGAAGCGCTCTCGAATGCACCGCGCGGCATAAGGCGAACTTGCGACGGAGTTGCTCCCGTTATCTTTCGCAATAACGAAAATATTAAGTATAATCTCGTACAATAGGAAATGGAAGAAAGCGAGCGTACGAGAGATAAAAGAAGGATGGACGAGTGAGCGTGCGAGAAGATACCGGCGTGTGCGGCCGCATGATCGCTCGGAGTAAAGTCGATAAGCGATAGCGTGTACTCACTGGCGTGGGGAGAAGTAGAATCAGGCCCGCTGAGATTTTTCCGCGCGAGGGAGACGGCGCGGGATCCTCGGCCGAGCGTGCCGCGTTGGTATGACGGGCGCGGAGATTCGAGAGCGAAGGATGGCACACACCAAGGGCGGTCGGCTCGGATGGCCGGAAGTGAGGCTTAGGTCAGGGCCACGGCATGACACTACCTTTTTCCTTCTCCACCGTACTACACAGATCGCTCGCACGCACGGATGCGACGCGGAATGCGGATTGTCCTCACTGCTGTAAACGCGGCGCCATGACGTCACCTCGCGCACTACGGCGCACGGCGAGGACGGCGCGAATCGATGCCGGGCCGGGCGGCCGGACGGGCGCTGCGACGACGGCCACCCTTTTCGTCGTCACCGCGATAGCAGCCACCCCGACGAAAGCGATATAATTCACCACCGCGCGCGGCGCATGCGCAATCGTCTCCGACGCGCCACCGCCGCTGCCGCCGCGACCGAACGCCGGCCGATGAAATTTGCGAGACCCCAACTGTATTACCATATTGACATACGTTATCGTTACCTTTTGTTCGATACCTTGAAAAATGAGGACAGCTTGCGAATAGAATATATGTTCGAGATATACCTATAGGTTATTTTATATACATATATATATCTATAATGATAGTGCTCTGACAAAGATGATAAAAAGGTTGAAAAGATATTGCCATTCGTTGGATATGCTGAATACTATAAGGGGATAATTTATGATACATTGAGAAGTGTATTTGGTATTTATGATTATAATTATGTTGTAAAATAATTATGATTAGAAGTCCTATTTTTATAGTTGTTATTGTTATAAATTTATAGTATTTATAATACTATATATGTATAAGAAAATACTGTACAGTTGTTTTTCAGGGCCGACTATACATATACATATATAATATGTACATATAATAATAGTGTATATATTTTTTATATAGATTAACTAAATTATAACATATAATTACTATTATTAATTAACAATAACATTAACAATGATAAATGAAGTTTTTTACCATAATTATTTTATTGTATTATTAAAATCACACGAATACTAAATATTGTTTTTTTTTATCTTTGTTGAAGTAAACACGAATAAAAAGTACAAGAAATATCCTGAAAAAGAATAA